CTTTGTAATACTTTCGTCCACCAAAAACCATTTTATGGATAAAATGCATTGTGATACAAACACCGCACAAATTCATCAAGATCATCAACAGTGACACCAGAGGAAGTGAAGTTTAAGAACAAGGAATCTAAAACCAGATTCTCAGTCACCTGTGATGGCCTGTGGCTCCGAAAGGCTACAGCCAGCCAGGGGAAGATTCATGCAAAGACTGAGACAAATGTTATTCAATTGCACTAATGGTATACATATTGAGATTGAAGTTATCCTGCACAAATTACCAGTTCATTGTTCAAATACCAAAATTATTGCTTTCCCTCCTACTTTAATTATGCAAATCACAGAGGAAATAAAATGCATTCCTCTAGGCCAGGAGACTGCTTGGGGACACCATGTCTGCAGGTGTTCTAGGGCTCTCTAATGCACCATCACATGAAGAACCTGGAGAAGCTGTTAGATTGGTTTAATTTAGCCAAGCAATAATGGGGTGGTTAAGATCATTAAGAAATGATCTGGTATGATAACCTGCAGACACACTGCCCTTCCAGGTCCAGGTCTGGACTGGATATCCTTGTCCTTGACAGTCAGAAGCTGCCCATACTAAAAACGTTTTTTCAACAACACCATATAGATAAGGATGACCAAAAACAGACAGAACTACCTTTCTCTCCTAACACTCCTTCGTTAGCCTTAATGCAGAGAAGTGTTTTCTAATCTTTAAGGCAGAGGTACCCAGCTCTGGTCCTGGAGTCACAGTCCGGCAAGTTTTAAGTTTAGCCTTAAATCCTTGTATTTCCTTAAATCCTTACACCTGTATTTTAAACACCTGTGAACATTTTGTTCTATTCATTGACTTGTTGGATCAGTAGTTTAGAGATCATTTGAAATTAAGACATCTACATCGTGTAGCTCTCCGTGGAGACATAGTCCTGAACACATTAACCACGATGATCCAAACACGTGTGAGAAAAACCTGCAATGATAACGACAATACTTTACGTTTCATTAAAAGTATCGTGACTAAGGGTAGATTAAGCTTACCTCACAGTTCAACTTTTACCGAAGGACACACATTTAAACCTGCAATATTCAAATTATCTGTTAAAACTTTGCCTGTAGACCAGTCATGTGTCCATGGCAAGGTCGTGTTAGCAGGGATTCTGCGGGGTCCCACAATTCCATGCTTAAGCAATAAATCTCTCGGGTCTTTTTAGGCGCTTTGTATCTTAGTAAAAACTTGCGATACTTGGACTGTTACGTCCGAACACGTTCATTTCTGTGTCAAGTGAATAGCTTTGTCAATGCCGTTGTCTTTATAATATCATAAGAAACGTAATTCAGAAACACTAAAACAACTGAGCAATCTTGTTTCCGACATCCCTCATAAAAAAAGAATGAGCTGGGAATGCCAAAACAATTGTCTATTTTATTGCGTAAAAACGAAAGTATTTCGCTTTATTTGCGATTTCCTCGAGTACAGAAAACTCGACGGAAGAGATGGAAGAACCGTGGATTAATCTGGAAATTCGAGTCAATACGGTGGACTGTTTAAGATTGTTCACTGGGAATTCACCAGGAATTCGGCCTAAGTAGCTCCCTGTAATTCTCCTAAAGGACTAGTTTTTTCGTCTGTCAAAGAAACTCCGATGATCTACGTACAGAGT